GCGCCGGCCGTCGGACCAAAAAAGAAATCCCCGGGCCCTAACTGCTGCTACCCCGTGCCTAACTCAGTGCAAAGCACCTAACCTAACTCAAGCTACCTTACCTTAAGTTCGGCACCCTACGGTAGGTCTAACAAAGCAGGATCGACTCTCGCGAGGCCGAGGGTGATTCGAGTCCCGAGCTCTCAACCTCCTGAGGTGACTGGGGCGGGCAGGAGGGTGCGCCCTCCGAGAGGAGCTCCTGTTTTGTTAGACCAAAAGGTGGCCAGTTGGTCGAGCCGCCGACCTTTAGGTCTAACAAAACAGGAGCTCCTCTCGGATGTTAGACCTAAAGGTCGGCGGCTCGACCAACTGGCCACCTTTTGGTCTAACAAAACAGGAGCTCCTCTCGGAGGGCGCACCCTCCTGCCCGCCCCAGTCACCTCAGGACGTTGAGAGCTCGGGACTCGAATCACCCTCGGCCTCGCGAGAGTCGATCCTGCTTTGTTAGACCTACCGTAGGGTGCCGAACTTAAGGTAAGGTAGCTTGAGTTAGGTTAGGTGCTTTGCACTGAGTTAGGCACGGGGTAGCAGCAGTTAGGGCCCGGGGATTTCTTTTTTGGTCCGACGGCCGGAGCTGACGTGGAGCTGACGAGGGTGCGGCGAGAGTGAGGAGGAGGAGGAGGAGGAGGGGGAGGAGGAGGAGGAGGAGGAGGAGGAGTAGGGAATCTAGTAGCGTAGGCACTCGTACTTGAGCGTAGGTGTTCGTAGCGTAGGAGGGAGATGCCTCAGTGGTGCGGGCCGCGGGGCCCGTATATGAATATGTGCCGGTGCCGGGCTGGACCGAGAGGTGGGTAGCAGGAGTTAGGCACATTAGAACAGGAGTTCGGTCAGAGGAAAAGGGCTCCCTAACTCAAGCTACCTTACCTTAAGTTCGGCACCCTACGGTAAAGGTCGGCGGCTCGACCAACTAGGCCACCTTTTTTGTAGTGATCTGTGATCTGTGAGGGTCAGTCCGCAGGCGCATTTTGTATACCGAGGCGCGGGCCCGGTGCCGAACCAGGTCGGGCCTTAAGACAGCATTGTAGATCCCTGGGCGAGGGTGGTGGCGCCCCCTCTGGCTGTGAGAAGGGCTTGTATTGTTAGAATTATTTTGGTATTTTTTGAGAGCGCCTTCGTTGTTAATAAGAAACAGGAGGGGTCCCTTTGGGAGAGAGAGAGATTTTTAGAAGGGGCCAAGCCAACATCTTCTCTCCCTTTGTCGCAGCCACACACACACACACACACACACACACACACACCGCACCGCACCGCGCGCACGCCCACCGCCCCGCCTAGGGTGGGAAAGAGACACGAGGAGATGGAACAGCCCGAGGAAAAGAGCTAACAAACACGTATGGGAGGTTTCGTTTTGCGCCACGCTGCCCGGCGTTTCTCACCTTCCGGGACAGCCCCGCCCTTGTGAGGCAGGAAGGTGACGACTACCCCCCGTACGCCCTGACCCCTGTTGCTTCTACCCCCTCGCCGACCGCCCATATCCCTGGTGTGGCCGGAATCTTTTTGAAGTATCCGCGGCGGGATATGGCGGGATATGGCGGGATACCGGGAGATACCGGGAGATACCGGGAGATGCCGGGAGATACGAGATACGGGCAGATACGGGCAGATATGGGGGCAGATACGGGCAGATACAGGGAGATGCGGGGAGATGCGGGGAGATGCGGAGAGGTGCGGGGAGATACTGGGAGATACTGCAAAGGAACCGGCCCCACACCAGGGCTGCCCATCCCCCCGTCCCCTTTCTCCAACCTCGACGAGCCGACGGACGCGATAAGCCTCTGCCCTGCGCGAGGTGCGCGACCCCGCCTTCGCCGCCCCGCACACACACTGTCGACACACACACACACACCACACGCACATACAAGACAAACCCGGCGTCCTGCAAAGACAAGAAAAAATGGGAAGGAGGAGACCAGCGGGGAGACTCCCCGCCTATGCAACATCCCAGAGAGGGGCTGCCATCGCCGAAGCTGTGCCTCCTGTGCCTAAGCATAACTCCCAAACCCGCAGCGTAGCCGCACGGTAAAGGTGTCGGGTGTGGGGGCTCTGTCCTTTCTTCCCTCTTGCGTGGGC